ACAGATGTGCAGCAATTGAGACTTAGCGAGGTGGGCACGGGCGCTCCGCTCGGAAACCCGATTCCGCCAAAAAGCCACCGCCACCATGAGACGCTGCTCCCGAGAAGGTCAAGGCTCTGTCCACGTCACTCGGTCCGGATGGCGGAGCCACCAGGTGCTGCGAGCTAATCGCTGCGGCTTCACGGCGTCGTGTAATCGTGGGTTGTGGAGAAGTGACCGCGGGGTTACGAACAACTCGCAAACACACACTGCCGTTTCCTGCCGGCCGATTTGGAAATAAAAGATCTTTCGGATGGATAAAAGTTTGATTAAAAACATGGTGAATATAAATTAAAATGTATACACTTACAAATTTGAACTTGTGTAGGATGTAAATGCGACCACATCAACATGTGAGCGTACAAAATAGCGAAGATCGTGGTGGATGTAATATATCCTCAACATTAAAAAAAATCCATTCGGCAGTATTCAGTAGGCATGTAATGATCCATTCGTTAAAAGGGATTTAGTAACGTTACATTTTGACTAATGATGCAGCATAACTGAACAAATGTAAAATTATACAAACATGAGATATTTTTTCACCTGATGATGATCACCTGTGTTGCGATCGAAACGTCGTCATATTTTTATTTTTGTATCTACGTGGCTTTACCGAAAGACTCAAAGAATATAGATACATCACTTTTTAAACATTCCGGTGCAATATATGACCTCTAGCAGCTGCACGGGTTTACAGGAACCAATTGCAACATAAACAAACGCTAAATAGTACATTCTTAAGCGCACAATTATCTACATATATCTTGAGCATAACATTCGATTTTAATTGAAGATTCGACCCATCACTACACCTCTAATACCTTGTCACGGATTTGATGTGAGGATATTTGATGTGACACTGTTGTTATGTTGCTTATTGTCCCTTCAATCCACATTCACTGGGTTAAAATCCCGGACGAGATAAATTCACCTTGAGACAATATCTCCATCTTAGTGGGTGCATTACAGCAAGTCCATTGTCATATGGGCAATCCCACGATCAGAATCAGAAAATTAATTTGTATTGGAAGAATCCGATGAGCTACAAAGTTATTTTTCACAGATATCTTGATGTACAATTCAGACACTACGTAAGTGGGTAATCATTTGTATGGTCACGAAGTGGCATATTACCTGGGCATAGAATGTTAACGAATTATGACTTTTATCCAGATGTCAAATAATAAATTGGCCACCCTTTTCAATCGGGGAGTAAAGCGAGCACGGTGCCGCTGTGAAGGACGAACTCAGGCGAACCAACTGCTTCACCCAGGCTGGGACAATGACGACACATTTAATTTCGCATACGCGCCAAACCAGCGACTTAGTCTATAAACAAGCCGGATTAAACAATTTTATTTTTTTACCACAACACTATTATTACCTTAAAAATGACACTCCAAATGTATTGTTGAGATGATTTTTTTTTTATTTTGACTGCGGGGTCACCCAATTTGCACAGCCACCAATTTCATCGCTTTACGGTAGTGGTAACAATCATTCGCCATCACCCAACACTTGCAAGGCAAGACTTGCAATTTACTTAATCATTTTTGTTTTGTTATAACCATCTATCACCAACGCTGTGTGTCGAAAGCTTCCACGTGCCATGTTGATTTTGGAGTAGGCCTGATCATACTTCACCGTGCTCGTCGGCGCAGGTTGGGGAAGGATTTTCTTAACCCCAGTGTGGGTTTGTGTGGAACGGTGCCTAAGGACCGGTTCAGACCTTCCCCACCACTGACATCAGCTTGTTTCTGGGGGGGGGGGTATCCGACTCGGCAACACAGCGCAGCGCGCTCAACCTCTGCGTCACCGCTCCGCCCCCCGTAATAATCGTTAACGACGATAACAAAAACAGCTTGCCAGTCAATCGTCGTGGCGCGGAGGGCCATATGGGAGGCCGCTCGCTTGCAGGGAGGTCTACCGGGAAAGCGGGCCCCCGTAATTTTAGCGCCTCATTCGTCACATCAAGGCCACACAGCGGTCCGCGGCCTAATTGCGGCCGAGGCCTTGGTCGCATTCACCCCCCCCCGCTAGCGGAAAACAGCGTGGGGACACCGGGCGTCGGGTGCAGCCGGGTGGTCCGGCCCGGGAAGGCCGAGCTCACCAAGGCTAATTGCGACCTCAGGTGCAGCCGTAAACCGATCTGCGCGCCAAACCAAAGCTGACAAGTTCAATGTCACAGAGCCGGGGGTGATGGGATACGGAAGGGTAAGGGAGGGGGGGGAGAGGGATGATGTGGGAGGAAGGAGGGCTGGTTCGTTCGTAGCTCAAATACCTCGCGGGCTCGGGACCAGATGTTCTCAATTGTAATGACGAAATAAGTGAGCACGTGCGTGCGTGTGTACGTACGTACGTGCGTGCCGGTGAAAAACAGAGGGACCGGTTTGAAATGGGCATACGCGTAAGCTAAGTGACACGAGTGCAAATTGAACATTTTAACAAGCAATGTTAATGGTTCCGGTTTAAACAGTCGTTATGTAACGCCTTGAGAAAATAATTTGTGGCACATGTTGACCTGCAGGCATGGGAATGTTCATTTGGATCCCAATTTTTTTTTCTCAAATTGAGACACTCACCCAAAATGAGATGGCCGGGTGGCTTATGGAGATAACGTTCAAGGCGAAGCCTCGAACGCAATAGCATTTCAATACTAGTGCTTAAAGACCAAAGGGGGACAGCTTTTGCAAAATAACCACAGCCTCTTGTACATGCAAAATAGATTGCAATGCAAATGCTAAACATCATGCGTGTAGAATTGTATCCGATTGGTTACTGCCGATTGCAGAAATATTAATTGACATGGCTCACGCCTGGGGGATATCTTCCACCGATAATGTAACGTACAACCCTTTGTCAATCCACTGCTGGATGAAGGACTCGCCACGCCGTGTTGGTTTCGGGGGTTGACCATACTTCACTACGCTACTCAGTACAGATTAGTGACGGTGAGGGTGCCTACAAGCCAGTGCAGATAACACTCGCCAACTGATGCCAGCTGTGCCAGAATTTAAACTTAGTTCCAAGGCTTTATACAGCACTGTGCACGTGGCACTGCGCCACATCTACCACGCCCTTTTCTATTGATGGACTGGCGCAAATATGAATAATTTGTGTCCGTCACCAAGAACATCAACGGGCATGCGGGATTTCGCGACATCACAATGTCTGCACACACAGTATACGTGCGCATGCACAGAAATGCACGCAGTTATACACAGAGTGCCAGACTAAGGCACCTTTGGAGTTACCGCAGCTTATCATTAATGACCAAGGTTCATAGAACCAGAGTAAGGCACGTGAAGAATGATCAGGGTTCAACATTAATATCTCAAGCTCAGAGTTACACAAAGCCACCTACTGGCTTCTTGGTGATCAATAATGCCTGATGCTCATATAGCCAGCCTAAGGTACATTTTTATTAAGGCAAATAGTTACTGCCCAAGCTGTATAGAACAATATCAAGGCAAGAGCGTAATTCTTAAGGTTCAGCAATTAATCCCTCAGACTATGCCAAATTGTCAAATTCTCCTGATGACAGAGAGAGAATCAGAGGGCACTAAATTCTACACGTCCATTCATATGTCTTACACCAACAGTCCGGACCTTAAATATATGTTTTTGCTTTCAACTGTGATAAAAACAGGGCTTATAACAAACTAGGGGACAAGGAAAACACTGGTCTACCGGACCAGGGGCTGAGCCAGGGGGGGTGACAGGGGTGAAATTCTGCGTATAAGTGTACGACACTCGGTCTGGCGGACTCCGTGCAACTGCATTGTCAGTGTGTGTCGCCAACCGATGGCGTCTAGCTCAACAGCCCGACTCTCTAATCATTCTTGAAATTAAAATTTGTTGAATGTCACCCCGGCCTGAAAATCCTGGCTCCACCCCTGTACCGGACACTTGAGTTTTACAAGCGTTTAGAAAACACGGCAGAGAGAAGGGATCTTTAACAAAGGTGCGCTGTGTTTTAATTTTTTTAAATAACCAATGTGAGTACACCACATGCTATATGTGTCCTTCAGGCCAAAAACTCTCGGCACATCATGCACGCCAGCAGTTTTTATATGCACCACAATGCCAAATTATATAAGTCAGACACTATAACCGTTAAGGATAGACTTCCAGCCACACAAGTATTATGTATCGGTCTATGGAGAGAAATCAAAGATATGAAATATTACTTGTGTGTTCGGCAAACGTTAGCTTCAGATGTTTTGTTTAAGGTTACCACATGGTTTACTTTATGTAGGTATAGGAATACATTCATATTCACACTGGAAAAATAGCACATTAAGAGTATTGTTTCATGCAAGGGATGCGGGCGGGGGGGGGGGGGTGTCACGTTGGTTGGCACACTGCGCTGTGAAGTTGGCGAAATGAGTTCGAGACATGGCCAAGCAAAAACATCGGTGGTTCGCGATATGTGAACCAATCCTGCACCCCACCCCCAAATTCAACAACAAGCATTGGCCAACAAGGTCAAATATGGTGAAAGGATCCACATGACCAACGTGGCATGGGGAGGCATTAATCCAGCAGTGGATTGACATGGTGAATTGTTACACACAACTGCACTTCAGTGGAAATGCCTTTAACCATTTAATTTTCAAACATACGATGTATTCATCACTGCAATGCCTCTCAGATACTCCTTGCTAAATATATGAAGTATAATTCTGGAATTGTCATAATTTTTCCCAAAAAAAAACACACTCAGCAAAAATCCAGATTGGCTGGCGGAAAAAAAAATATATCGTACTAAATTCATTATTTGGCTCTGCCAGGTATCGTGTATATATGTCCTATATGGACAGTAAAAGTAATGATCCACAACTCGCACAGGTTATTAATGGCCATGGAAAGCACAGCTCCATTCTCTCAGAGGTTCAGGTATCAAGGACTCCCAGTAAGGCATTCCAGATGCCAGAGCAGCCGTTTCCAGTGCTCACCTCGCTCACGAGCAGAGTCCTTGGGTCAATGATGTCGAGGAAGTGCCGAAGGCGTCCGTAGAATGTGGTCTGAAAATAATAACACGGTACATTAATACTATAACAAAAAAATTACGGTGATATTAAAAACCATTGACTGAGACGGAGCAGTGCTGAATGACCATCAGTCATAATTAATCCACTGCTGGATAAAATCCTCACCAAGCCGTCACCATCTCTCATCATCATGTGATGTCATAATCCTATTGTGAACCATCTTGCCCCAGCCGATATCATTGATGCTCTGCACCCATATTGTCCCCTCAAGGTCCTTAAGATCTGGGTATGATGCAGATCTTCTCTGCATTCCTAGGTCGAGGTTTCAGTCTATGGGTGGCTGAGATTTTTCCCCGTGTAACCCCCCAGACTATGGAATACTCTTCCATGAGATATGAGGATCTGTGGACATTTTAAAACGTGTCTTAAAACATATTTATACGCTTCTGCTTATGAAGATTTTAGTTAATTTAGTAAATGAATTATATTTATTTTTTTTTAATGCTGAGTGTCCGCTGCTGCTGTGTCCTGTACAGCACTTTGAAACCCTTGATGAAAAACGCTATATGAATGGAATTATTATTATAATAATTAATCCACCGAGCACCTGCACTTCACTGCATCTCCTCGGTGGACATCCTCTCGGATCCATCACGTTCCTTGGCTGCCACTGCGTTATTATTATTATACTGGACCATGTAATAGTCAATTCATTACGATGCCTCTACCATGCGTGTGTTGCGGTGGTATGCACCTGACAGCCTAAGATTTGTAGGTGGGCGTTGGTAAATCATCCAGAGATCCGAGTGTGTGGCGTGCGTGTGACTACCCGTTGCAGCGGCTACAAGGTGCCAGAAGGCAGTACAGCAAGTATGTTTGTGGCCTGTGTGGAATTTCAGTTATTCCCCTTGGAATGAGTGTGTTTTCTCCAGGCATGCCAATTTAATTCCACGCACAAACATGTCCAAAACAGAATTGCCAAACAATCCTGACACAGGGCCCTTCTGAAGAACACTTCTATAAACTCAACAGTAAGCCTTAGCTGAGAAAATAATTACGCCTTATAAAAAACTTATTCAATTAGTGCAAACTTACTCTATTGAAGACCGCAAACAGGAAGACTTCACAATACTGACAAATCGCCTGATGAAGTTGGTTGCAATCACCAGGGAAACTCAATATTTAAATTGTAAATGTTGTGGGTTTACTCTCCAACACACCGATGTGCTGAAGTAGTAACTAATTGGCACGTTTTGTTCACTTGACAAACCTTACTAATTGGCTGTGTCGGGTGGTGGTGGGTTATCGACACATTTGTATTTAAACAATCTAACCCAAAAAAAACCTTTGTTATGAACAGTGCAAACTACCTGCTATGGCATATGGTCACCGACAAAGAAAGTGGAACAAAAGGTTGAAAAGTGCACAAAGGAGAGATATGGTGCACGCTTGGGATTGCTCACAGATAGACAGAGGGATCACATGGACCAGTGAACGTGCACAAGTTGTATATACATCATACTCCAAACTTACAATGTGGTGAGGCGCTAACCATCGGACATATCATTGATCACCGGCCAAAACAACACGCGTATGCTGGTGGAACTAGCAAACTCCACTCGGCTACCCCGTATGCTGTGGAATGGCTCGCAACATACACGTAAAAATGTCAGTCTGTTGCCTTTTTTCAAACGCCATACGTAACAAGATACTGTACATCATACGGACTCTGTGAGTGACGCACACCTGTCAACACCATACAGTTTACCCCGTATTCTTGTACAGGGAAATGTAGTTTTCAGGTCCATAAGGCGTACAGCAGTTTCAAAAAAGGCTTTAGGAGATGGACGTTGAGATTTATAAGAGCAAGGAGTGACCAATAAGGTCTTGAGTGGTCTGTCGTAAGGTAGGCACTAATAAGGGGTCGACAGGTATGTAGTGGTGAGTGTACTAGTGGTGAGTGCTAGTAGTGGTGATCGTCTATTTGCTTGTGTTTCTCCCTTGTGATGGGACTTTGTAGGATGGACGCTGAGCTTTATAAGGGCACGGGTTGCCCAATAAGGTCTGAATTAGTCTGTAATAAGGTAGGGCACTGATAAGGACTTGACAGGTGTGTAATGAGCACGGGTGAGGCCTAGGCAGGATGACCGCTCGTCGTCGAGACTAGCGACAGAGTGGCAGCCCAAGGATGGAACGCGCGCGTGAGCGCCCACGGTGGAGATGGAGCGTTCGAATCGGCTCGTTGTGCAGGCGCTTCGCAAGACCATGCGAAATGGCCAACGGCTTGGCGGAGGCCTCCGTCCAGCAGTGGACAGATCACGGTTGACGCCGGCGACGACTGTGACAGTGATTTTGTTTCCTACGAGCAAATGAAATTCACACTGTTGTGAGCTCACCACAGCCGTGGAGAGTGTCAACGCAACAGCAACAAAAAAAATGTACTTAGCAACGGTGCGTGCAACTGGTATAAATGCTGTTTTGGACAAAGGCGTGCTTGTGAGTGCAAGTGCGCGTGTCTAAACTTCACGGACGCGAGTCCTGGTCGTGCACTTTAACTCTGCGTCGTCCTCTGCGCATGCTCCTTTCGGCATCGTCCCCAACTGAATTCGCCAACGCAGTGGATTCAAGGTGCGTAAAGTCTACGAAGCATACGTACCGATGGCAAAACGCCACGTAAATATCCGCCTATGACCAAACCAGGTTGCGTTCGCCCTCCTACCGCTCCCCGGCAATCTCAAAAGCTAAGCAGTTGACGTCTCTAAGCGAGGCAATCTGATGGGTGATCACCCCAAAGGCTTGCCAGGAGTTGTAGTCACGCAGCTGATGGCAGTGCCGCACGTAACCACCCCCCACCTACCACTTCTCTCCAAGTTTCCTCCAACACAGAGCAAAAAATCCGTGAACATTTGGTGGCATTCACGGCCAAAATGCAATCGCCCCAAATGCAACAGGACCCTTTGACTGAGAGCGAGGACACCGTGATTGCTGTGCTGGGGTCACACCTATTGTCGACAGGACGAGGCACCGCCGATGAGCCGGCCTCACCAAAACATCGAGACGGGATGTGTCGCGAGATATGAACCCGTGCCACATAACATCCAACTCTTTTATAGTCGGATGCAGCGAATGGGGGGGGCAGGGTGGGGTGTCAGCGGTGGGGGTCAGTGGGCCGCGTGTGAAGAACGCAAAGTAGACGCGGTCTCTTTTCGACAAGAGCAAAAAAAAAACCCCACCCCCATCACGACGGAAAGCTTCATCTCCTTCCTTCCTCCCTGCCTCTCGCTCTCCCGGCCCCACGAGTCCATGCCGAGCCGATCAATAATGGATGCAGTCTGTTGTGTACTGTCGAATGCGAAGGGAGCCGCATATCCTGCAGCGCGCGGGATCAAGCGTCCAAAGCGGCGAATTTGAAGCGCCCGTGCTAAAGCGAGCGAACAACGCGCGGCTGGACCGACTCCCCCGTATGTCGCGCCCGATGAGCCACGGTCAATCCACTGCTGGATGGATGTGAAGTCGCTTCCCCCTACCCCCCGCGCCAAGCTGCGGCGGTGCCGTCGCTCCGTCTCCCGCGGAAGAACGTGGTGGACGCCACTCTTTTACTCTCTCGGAAGCGTTCCATCGGCTGACCATCTCGGCGCATGTTAAAACACTAAAACAACTCCATGCCCCACGTGGCTGTGACAAAACTACCACGGTTATCTTTCACGTTATGCAATGACAACAGCACACACGCACACACACACACGCGCGCGCGCGCGCACTAAACTACGCAACTTGGCTTTTAACAGGCTTAGTTCCTTCAACAGGACTGTAAACAACAGTGTGTAGAGGATATTTTCAAATACATCCATTGAATTTTTTAAAACGTTGTTCTTTATTTTTGTTACCTGGTCAAACATGGACTTTCCAAGCTTGAATGGCGGGCATCCTGGACGCTCCTCCATAGCTGCTTTAAGAAATTCAGCGTGCCTCGCGTAGCAAAGGTTGTGCCACCGACTCTATTCGAGTGAGTGAGTGAGAGTGGGCGCGCGCGTGTGTGTGCGCGTGCGCGTAAGTTTACGCTCTAGTTAGCAAAAAGTGTGCGCTAATTGTTTGTGAAGCAGATTGCGTTGCCGGATCAAGGGACACAGGCTGCGCCAACGTTACGCGCATCAGTTCCGCATCCCTCGGTTCTACGGATACCAACCACGGCGTGTGGGTAAACACGTTTCACAAACGCGAGGCACTTGCAGCAAGGTGTGTTCCTGTGTACGTTGGACGTGGTCCCACCGCAGGATGGTGCACTGCTGGCTGCGAGAATGCCCGAATGAAAGGGTGAGGTTTCTCGCCTCGTCACCTAATTATTGAAGCCGACAGAATCATTGAATCGAGTTTGCCTTTGAAACATTTAATTTTTTTTCAAGCCAAAAATCGATTATCATTTTATGTGCTATGATAACGTCGTCTATTAGATATTTTGTATTTTAATTTTAAGGCCAGTGTTTTTGACAAATTTGTTTTAAATTCGTGTCATTGCCGAAAGCTTTTTGGGAGGAGCAGTGACATGCAATATGTACTTGGCAAGTGAACTCATCAGTTTGAATCCTGGTCACGGCTGACATCAGTGGGGAGTGATTATCTGAACCAATCCTGGATGCACCCCTTTACCAACCAGCACTGACCAGCGTGGTAAAGTATGGTCAATAACCTCAATGACATGGACAAGGTGACGGTGACTACCTTCAGCCAGCAGTGGATTGACAAAGGGCTGTAAATGATACGTGCATATTTATCACACCAACATAGTTACCTCTACACCCTTCTCTACAACCCGGCCAGATGTTGGGTTGGAGGACCACGAAGAGATGGGGATATTACTGTATTATGTGTGCACTCAGCTACAGTGTAAGAATTAACAAATGAAGAGGCTAAACATTTACAATCAGGACCCTCTTGAATATTCAGTCTTTGGACTCAAAGATACTTGGCAGGGAGCAAAAATTATAATAACTGTACTATAGACGACATAACACTTACATATATTTGCCGAGCCATTAGTGGCCATGAGTTGTTTCCAAGCACACTGGGGAATTGGAACTGCCCCCTGCTGCTTCTCTGTATTTATCATCAATCACTGCTGGATGAAGCAATCAATAATTACGGTACTTAATAATTCAGTGCCGAGTGTTCCCACCTCAAAATGCATGGTGGATTTTATAACAAGCGTTTGTCCTAGGAAGCATTTAATTAGCGGTAATAACGATAGCGCGCATGCCAGGCGCACAGGCAAAGCAATGCGTTAAGAGTATTTGGCTGCTATACATTTCCACCTAAGCCACTTTGTTGAGCGATGATTTATGGCCAGGTCGCTTCTGAAAAATAGCTCTATAGCTCAGTGGGCCTTACCTGTTAATAATTTGCAAAAAAATACGTCCTTAGACCATGATAAAACATCAAGGCAAGTACTTTTAGCGCTGTTTTTTTAATCTCCACGTTTTGGGCAACACCTTGATCGATTTATCCTGTTTTCTGTCGGGTAATTCCCTAACACAAACGCAACTTTACATTAAAGTTTTGCTCATATTGGATCACCTTTACGAGAGTTATTGACAGATGAACAAAGCTATGACTGCATTAAGCCTTAAACCGTAGTTTTAGTGTTCAAGGTGTGAGAGGCGTGGCTGCAATCGCCCCGCCAGCCTTGAAACCAACACACTCCGACATGAGATTATTGAAACAGTACCATATCGATATCTATTCCCGAGCACTGTTGTGGGTACAATGGTCATTCCAACATCCCATGGTGTATTACCCGGGTTAATGAATCGACGTGTTGTAGACTGAACAAAAAAGTGGACGATGTATATGATTTGTTTCCAAGTTAAACTTTGCCGAATCTGAAAGTTTAGCCAATTCCTTTCTCACCTTGGTTGGGTGACCACCGCAAGGTCTTTCCATGTGTTGTAGGCGGCGAGGTGGCCAGAAGATGGCAGTGCTGGGTGTTACCCCCCCCCCCCGCTCCCATCCTTCATGAATGCTTGATTTTCTGTTCGTTTTTTTGGCATTTGCCCATAAGAAGGCACTCATGAAAGGAAGAGATTCGAATGTAGAAGAAACATGCACTGTTCAGTAATTTGTGTAACTCTTGAAAAACATTGCTCTGATCAATTCTGAGTTCATTTCACAGTATGCGCTGTCCTAGTTTAGAAAATATTTCTAAGTGTGTGTAAATCGCTCGTATTTAACAACAATTGTATCCCTGTTATGATTATTGCGGTAATAATAACGTACAATGTTTTGTTCATTTTGTGCCACGTATTCGCCACGTCATCTTCATCACCATCGTGGACGAAGGCATACGATGTGGCCGTTTCCCCCGATCAGTCTTAACAGCAAATAGCAATTGCATCATTATCTCAATAGCCTCTCACCTGCTCACAAACACCAGAGCCTTCCACTTAAGCTTCCATTCATCCTCATCTTAAACGGCTCATTAACGTGGGCCACGACATTCTTACTCCAACAACCCCATTGCCACTACAGCGGACCACTTTCATGATTGTGATTGAATTAACGCAGCGCACATCTGGCCATGCACCCTACCACATCAAACGCGCTTTGGGAATTAAGACTGCATCATGCAGATTTGAAAAAATAAAATGTGCACACCGTGTTTCATAACCAAGCACATGATTTTTTTTTATCTCATTGCATTGAGCAATGTAGAGTCTATAAACTCTTAAGAGTTTTTTTTTTTACAAGAGCCCGGTACAAAGCACGAAAGAGGGCACATAAATCCCGTGGACCGAAACACAAACTCAGTGCCCCTGGATTTAGAGAAGGGGAGACAATTGGGCTCACTGCCCCCACGCACAAAGGGACTGCGAGCGGAAACGTAGGGTTTGTTTAGTTTTTATATGGGGAAAGAGAAGACACGGGAAGAGGCACAAACGTAAGTGGTGGTGCAGGAGGGTAGAGTCTATATAACTAGTATTTGCTGTACCAACAGTGGAGAGACAGGCATGTGGCGATGCATCTATTCATACGAATTATTAAAGCTCACGACATGTTCATGGGATCACGTTTAAAAATAAGACATTTTTTTACGTCATATACATTGATAATTAGGCGTGGGCAGATCACGTCGCTGGAAGGGATAATGGCCATGGTAAAGAAAAATCACAGCGGCAACCAAGGCATGGAACTTATCCAAGGGTACCCAGTATTAGCGATTAAACCAGATCATGTGCAGGTGCTAGAGGTGGATTATTGTATTGCATGATGGCGAGATGGCTGTAGGCTTAAGTAGGTCTTCATACAGCAGTCGAATGACCATGGTTGATGATACGTTGTATGCAGTGGGTTCGCATGAGCCCTTCAGTTTCTGTAAAACATAATTATTAAGTAGAATCGCGAATTTGAAATAGCTACGATTCGCACAATTGTCAAAAAGTTGGGGAAAAGTGGGCTATGCTCTACATCCCTCATGAACAGCATCTAATAGCGGCGGTTCGGGTTCATGGCCTCCCACACGACACTCTTTGGCATTCCTTGGCATGGAAATGCAACATTCCTGCTTGGATCCTCACTTCACGTCGCATTAAACGAGGGGAAGTGATGCGTGTCGCTTCCACAAGAGGGCACCAGAAAACAGACCACAAGGGCCTTTTTGGGCACTCCCACAAAGTGTTGCCAAAATCACAAAGACAAAGATCCCCCGAATAGCCTTAACAGACTGTTTGGGCAAGTGCTGTTAGCGAGCAGCTTTGAAGGCCGCCACAGCTCACGGGGGTGGGTGGCCACCTTCCCCTCCCTAGTGACGATGTTTACACACCACACCAGGCACTCATTTGTGGCTGAGTCGACGTCAGGGAGGCTCCGGACCAGTTCTAATTAAATATCGTCACTGGTGTTGGCCGTTTGCGGGAATCGAACTCAGGTGGCCGGGTTCGCAGCGCATCGCCCTAACTGCTACACCACCGTTCCATAAATAATCACAAAGACAAAGATCCCCCGTATAGCCTTAACATGCTGTTGGGGCAAGTGCTGTTAGCGAGCACCAATGGAAAAAAAAGAATACGCACAACACACACGCGCGCACGGCCATGCTGTTCGAGAAATGCGCGGCCACCAGTGACACAGACATCCTCCGCACACGCAGATGACAAATGTCACTAAGAGGGCAAAACGGATCGGGCAGATTCTTCCTTGATGCTCTTTATTAGTTTATTCGCAACACACAACGCTGCCATGCTGTACACGCTGCAGCAACATTCTTTGGTAGGTTGGCATAACCCATCCAACTATTAGCCGTGCCCTGTGCTCTGCACTTACTCGAGACGACGTCCAAAAGACAACGTTTGCTTGGCATTCCAGCCCACAACCTTGAAACGAGAGGCGTATACTGTGCGCAGCAATTGCCTATACATTATTGTCGGATACCTCTGCATAATCGCGACGGGTCTCCGGTACTGCAGCAATTTAAGGCAAACGAAAGAAAAACCGGCGATCGGAGAACGACAGCAGAACACACGTTCAGACGGATGCTCGCACGTAACATTAACTGAACATTATCGATTGCGGAACAAAAGGTCACACGCACTGCAAAGTCCACATAGCACGGGTTTTATGATCCACTCGTCACACGCTGCCGGGAATAAGCAACCAACCACAAGCGGCTGCGCAGGCACTCGATTACAATGAACAAACAAGCTGCGTATATGATTTTAATAGATATGCATTTGAGACTTAATTTTCCGATCAGAATTGTTTACTGTAGACGTCAACGTGAAAATCAATTGCAAATTCGCCACTATCATCATCATCATCATAAGCCATGATCATGCCATTCCTGGATGCAGACTGATGAGTATGGTGAAGTATGTCACCCCCCACTGCATCCACCCCATGAGCAACACACTGAAATCAATAAAATGCGAATTATTTGCGTTAAACCTTTCCCAGCAACTGGACGCGAATTGGCTTATTGGTGCTGTTAGAGTCCTGGGTCCTGGATATGATTTGCCTTTTTAAGTCTGTTATGGTGTGCTGCACGAATTGCCAAGCCATTGTGGTGTTGCAGAACACGAACAGCCGCCGCACGTGTGCCAATAATGCAGAATTATTAAGCATTTGAGTACCGTTCACCCGAATGTATCCACACCGCAGGGCAGGTAAAAGACATGGATGTTGCTTTTCGAGTTGCTTCGTACTTGAATAGGGTGATGTTTTGCACGAACAATTATCAATCACCAGTATCAGAGCAGCCGGGAATCTACCCACAGTGGGATGAATGCCTCTCCGATTAGCTTCCCGCACCTCTGATTAGCACGGTTGGCTACGTACGGTGCGAAAAGAGGTTCGGCATACAACAAAACAGTCTCTCCAAACCGTCGCTTTCTCTCAGTCTTGCAAAGCGGAAATCCCATCGAGTCACTGCACGTGAGCCGATCCCGTTGCTCCATCTCCACAGGGGAGATCCTCTCGGGGAGGGTGCGCCTCGTTTGGGTGCCACTCTTGTCACGATTCCTGCAGTCACGAAAGCTTCAAATCAACTCTGTCATTAGTCTGGACCAATGTGGCCTTCATTCCGTCGAACGGACGTGTCCTTTCCAAAATGTCTCAAACGTGCGTGTGTTCTCCAATCCACGTGTTCCTTATTCCTCAGTGAAATTCCTATCAAGCGCTTCCACGTTTGGAAAAGCGGAACTTAATAATGAATGGCGCCAAAGACAAAGTTTTGACATCACGTACATTACTTGCAATGGCATGGATCAGAAACGTAAGTCTGACCATTTGTTATCGCGCAATCATTTGAGCCTAACCCATCACGAAAGCATGAACATTGCTATACCAACTAAACAATCCACGTTGCCATAGCGACAAAAATAGCATTGTCAGTGAAAGCGCAGCCTCGTATTCCGTTCATAATAGGGGTGTAATTAATCGTAACCCCTCGCTTCCCATATTCAAATTAATTGTCACAATACTGGGTCATTTTGACCATGGTCAGATTGACTTAAAAACTCAGCGATGCCCTGGAAGAAAAAAAAAGTAACAACACAATAAGCCACATATATCCCACTGTCCAGAAAGAAGGTGAATTTAGCGCATGGAAAATGTGAATCATTAAAGTTAACGATGTGGCTCTGCCATTTAGAGATGATAGAATGAAAACTACCACAAGTTCAATGGAAAAAAATGTTGGCAATTTGAAGATAAATAAAAGCGGGTTATAAAGGCGTTCTAGTGCGCCACTCACTAGATTGCGTACCGTGTTGTGTCTGTCCAGGACCTGACCACGACACACGGGGGCGTTGGGTGGCCTGCACCACGTCTGGCCACCTTTGTCTCCCGAATAACGATGTTCACACACCGCACCAGGTACTCATCTGAGGCTGAGTCGACCAAGGGGAGGCCCAGGACGGGCAAAACTGTTTGGCCGTGAACAGGAATCGACATCGGGTAGCAGGGTTCGTAGCGCAGTGCGCGAACTGCAATACCACCTCCACCCACACGCAAACACACACAAGCGCATACATATATACAAAATACGGGTCTGTGCGCGTACACGCACGTGTGACCATGCACTATTTATACATCTGCAAGGCTGACTGAGTTACGCTCCCCGGAGTGGCAATGGAACTAAAAGGCAGACCACCATGCAATTTAGTTACTAAAATCCAGCCGCTATTTCCACGTTCACGATTGTGCGGATGTAAGTAAATGTTGCGAACAAACATGCCAAAGAAAAAAAGCCTCGTGCGTGCATGGGATTATTTTCTATGAAAATAAAATATATATCAAATAACATTAATACATGTTATATATGGGCCATTGCAATTTCAAAATGTTACTTTATTGTTTTCAAATTACTTTAAAAACAATTTAATTTCGAAAAAAAATGTTTTAGCCATCTGGTTTTTGCAAATATAATTTCCCTAGTTTTCTAAAACAAAATTAAAATGTTAAAACCTTCCACGTGTTTTTTTTCTTTTCCATACTATATTGATGGGGACATTTAAGTAACTGTAAAATGAAGATGTATAATAGAACAAAAATGTTGGCAGAGTGAAATAACAAGAGGTTCAATAACAATGTGTACTTTATTTTAAATGAGGCAACCAACTTTCAGCCGCAGTATAATGTTGTTGTTGCCGTACGTCTTTCTGTAACTTCAAGGAAGGAGCCTTTGTAATTGCAACAAATTTTTTTTTAGAGCAAAACAACGCATGGTGGTCCCTTTTTAACCTTTGAACAAATAATTCCTTTGTGGGAATCAACAACGGCGCTTTTAAAAAAAAATCACAATGCAAAGTCAAGTGAAAACCTATAGCCGATTCACAAGGAGTACATTTTAAATGCTATCATTCAAAAGCAACAGAGTAAGCGGTAATTAATGTGGTTCATTCGGTCTGGACTGTCCAATTTTTTTTTTATCCCGTATTTTTCCTAGAAACTGTCAAGAAAATAAACAAGCAACAATAGATGAAACCTCGGAACGGGAAAGCGAATGCTTTCATAAGGTGTCTCCAGTAACAGAATACTGTAAAAACATAGCCTTTTTTTGAAACGCAATTTGCTGCACACATCAGGGAACAGCAAATGTAATTAAGAAACGCTTCGCATGCCACTTCTCAAAAAATGTAGCACTCGGGGGGGGGGGGGGGGGAACAAAATGCAACAAAAACCTGATCATTTCTATATGCTGTTATTGTGCTGTTTATTGCTGGCCGCTTGTGCACAGCAACTGTGATTTTTCACTTTAAATGTAGAGACAGACAAGTTCGTTTTATGGGCAGCGACATTTTTTGATTGAGTCTATTGTAGTCCGTACAGCACTAATAACAAACAAAAAAAATCCTACATCAGCCACGATACATCATGTTTACATGTGTTCAAACACTTAAGGCAAATAGACATTTTAAATCCTTAAGATGCTGGCAGAATATTAAAAAAAAAACATTCATGCATCCAGGTCAACTAATTGGGTCATTTTATATGACGGGGGAACACTGAATATGTATTTGAAGCCAGTCCTCCTACAGGATTGGCTTCATGCACTGTAAATCGATGTAGACCAAGCATCTTGCAATAAGCCAGTTAAGCTGTCCATAAAATAAAACTAAACTATTTTATGATAATAGGGGTTTCCCCTCTTTGCTGGCAACAAAACAGGTTTTGATTTAAAGCTTTCGTGACTGCAGGGATTCATATTCTTGGTTCTTTCGGTGAAGTCACGTAGAAGGGAAACAATAAAATAATTTTTGTTTTTATATTTTTATTATTTTATTGTTTCCCTTCTACGTGACTTTACCGAAAGAACCAAGAATAACAAAACAGGTGTTACGATGTTGAAATAGCAAACTGAAACCTTTTTACAAGGAATCATGTCTGCATTAACCACAATACTTGTGGTCAGAATGCAAACAAAAAACATAGTCTGATAATATGATGCATTGTCTTTGAAAATGATTGGTTTCATACCAGAGACAGCTTCCTTTTGAGCCACGTCTCAAACGGTGTTAGACCAGAGGACGCCATATATATACAATATAATTACCTCTGTTTGAAAAAAAACTACGTGATTTTAATTTTACCAGGTAAGGCCCACTGAGCTATATAGCTCTTTTTCAGAAGCGACCTGGCCACAAATGATAGCCCAACAAAGTTGCTTATCATGTGCAGGGAAAAAACCGGAGGACCCGGAGAAAAAAACCATGCGACCACGGAGAAAACATGGAAACTCCAAATATACAGGCGTCAGGACTGGGATCGACCTCCTGTATACCAGCAAGGTAGTTAGCATCTCGCCACCGCGGCGCCCCTAAATGGCCGCGTTGCAAAGGACATTGCCACCAGATCGCCGTGTCATTTTTAAACATGGTTTCCGGCACTAATCCTCTTTGCAGTGTTACTGCAGCAGGATATTGACTTTCTGTCAATAACACTTGCCCGTTGCACATTTACCTGAATGCGATTTGATTTATATCATGGAATAATACCGATGCAAAGTAAGGCAGCGAGCTGTACGGTACGGCCCTTTTGTCAAATCCATTGCTGGGTAAGGGCCTCCGCATACCGTGCGGGCCGTCACAGGTTATTTGACCATACTTCACCACGCCGGTCAGTGTGGGTTGAAGGCGGTGAACACGTTGAGAGCACACAAGTACAATGCAATAATGGACGTTGCTGCAATGCCCTCTGTCACTGCTCTATGACACACTCTGGGTGAACGTGGTGGTGGTGGTGGTGGTCACCCATTCATGCTCAACCCATGCGTTAGCTTCCAAGATCTGACGGCACTGCGTGCATTCCGGGGTGATTTGGTCGCAGGCGTTCAATATGGTGTGCGGTATATTAAATATTTGATGATGCGATAAACTGATGTAACACTCAATCCGATGGAAAGCACGGCAGTTAGTAGTTGTAGATCACATACAGATGCGAACAATATTTAGCGGAGTGTAAACACGCCAAAATAAAGCTGGTGTAAAAAAATACAAAATGCTCACGCTTAAAATAAAGCTCACATTTATGTGAGCATTACACATTCAGTTTTGTCACAACTTAAAAAAAGCAAAGTTTCTGTTTGTACCTACATTAATTCAGCAACGTTCAACCCCTACAGATGCGGATATACTCAACAACACTGTTTGATAAACAATACAATCTTACAATCACTATTATTGTAATTTTTACTTTCCTATATTCTTAATTGGCTTTGTGCTTTCACTTACAGCTATAAAGTTCAATTTGACATTTCCATTTTTGCAATGTACATTATTGTCGTTTCTTCCACAGCATATTGAGGCATACATTATCGTATAAACATATACTATACTGTATATACAGAATTGAATTGGCATATAATCATGGACTTGTATTTACCCAAATTTACAATAATATACTTCTGATGATAAACCAAATAACTGTAATGCAATAAAAATGGCAATTAATCTATGGAACGTAACTAATAAACATGTATTCATGCATGCAGTTGGACCTAGACCTTCTGAATAATTTCAATCATCAACTGCACCAATCCTTTGGGACAATGAACAAGCAGCCCTGCAGCAATTACACTGCAAAATGGTTCGACGAGCTTGGGCTGTTTTCATAGCGGCGTGCCTTATTTGGAAGAGCACATTCGACACTGGTTAACATATTCCATACGCACTGTCAATTAAAATTTGCAGTATCGTTCTTAAACACTTTTGCTTACACGTAACCCTCTGGCCGTGCGGTCACGTGTTAAACTAAACGGTTTTTTTATTTTATTTTACGAGGCATGGCCCACTGAGCTGTATAGCTCTTTTTCAGAAGCGACTTGGCCACAAATGACAGCTCAACGCAGTGGCTTATCATCTTGATTCTAAACGTAGAGGGCAAACTGGACGACCCGGAAAAGCAATCCACGCAACCACGGGGAGGATATGCAAACTCCAAACATACGGGCGTCAGGGTCGGGATCGGGATCGAACCCACAACCTCCTGTATACCAGGAGAGGTAGTTAACATCTCCTAGCCACCGTGGCGCCCAAACACACAGGCCATACACGTACATCTTCACTAAAAGAATCTCGATCGTCCTTTGCCAAATCCATCACCGTATCCTCTGGATAATAAGGCGCACTGTTTTCCCCTGTATTTTACAGCAAAGGTTGGTGGTCAGTCTTGCAACCCAGTAGGTGTGTGCATGTGTGTGACCTGATTTTTTATTTAACTTTATTGGCACCAGGCACAAGACTGAGGTGCGCCTACTTTCTGGGACATTTATAATTCGCAGAATGCAGTATGTATATCTGCTTTCGATAAGAGGGTGTCAAACACATACCCATAATAATACCACCTGAAATGGAATTAGCCTTGCTGGTCAATAGCAAATACTAGTTGGATTCATAAATATTTTAAAGCCTTGCAAAGGGAATACTCCCATTACGGGCCGTTTAATACATGCCCAAAGAAGTCTTATTAGCTCCACAAGTAAACGCATGAAATCTGTCCTTGTACCACAGGGCAAGTGTGGATGGCGGAAATAAACTGTAGCCCTTAATCATGAGCCTCAGCCCACGCACACATCTGAGCTAAGCTAATTGATCAACGTCCTATACTTGTTCAGATTGTGCCTAATAGAACCCAAACAAACATTTTTACTTTTTAACCTCCTGTAAATAGACTTATTATGGTTAATTCACCAGCAACTGTCCAGAGTTCTAGCAGCTGAGGGGAATGTCACTAACAGCGCTCGGAGTAGGGGAGCATAGCGTGAGTGCCGTTTACAGTTGAAAGTTTTTTTTTAAAATCCTCGCCCCCACCCTCCCACCCCAATGGCTGACTCCTCATAAACATTATCATCGTCATTTAATATTCATATCACGCCTTTCCACGCAGTACATCCGGGCATGCCCAGGGCTACATTTCTCTCCAAATATTTCCCGGCTTGCCGGTTGACTCGAGAACATTGCACGTGACTAGTAGTAGCCACAGCCGTAGTGACAGGTACACTGGATGTGGTGCACCGGGAGCGGAAATATTGTCTGGGTCGCTGACCCGGACATGCTCGGCTGAAATTAAGCCCCGCGCACACCACTAACCGGCGCTGGCAAGGCCCCACCACCGGCATCGGCAAGCGACCAACAGAGGCACACGGGGCCAAGTCCGGGCCGAGCCGAGCCGGCACGAAGTGATGCCGAGGGCATTACTTCTGCCCGAGCGTAGCGGCCCTCTGGTATGGCACGAGCAACAGGTGCGGCGTCTCCTCCATGATGCGCAGCAGCAGCCCGTCCATGTACTCGTGCAGGTTGCGGATGGTGTCGTCGCGCCGCGCCAGCTCCGCCTGCTGACGAGTCACCAGCGCCACCAGCTCGGCGTGCGAGAGGCGCGAGAGCACCGCGGCGTTTGCCGCCACACCGCCGTCCTGGGGGCGCGGGAGGGGGACGCAACGAGTTGCAGCGCTTCGGGGCGAGGCTCGGTTGTGGGGGGGGGTGGAGTGGGGGGGGTCAGAGCTAAGGGTTGCAACCTCTGTGGTGCACACTAATATATATCTGTGGGGTCGTGTGCAAATGTGTTGTTTTGAATGCCATAGTATTACGGAACAGACAAAAACCAGGAATCGTCACGCCCCGTGAAGACTTACAAATTTCTCAGGATGGCTACGTCTGTGAAGGACGATTCTGGGAAAACTAAGACAGGTGGCACCGCTGAGGTCCTGGATTGGAATCTGGGTTTCAGCATTCTATGATTAATCTGGGTTCTCTCTCACGTGTAGTCAGTTTACGGTGTCAGGATGGTCACCAAAGCAAGACCGAGCTTCAGCAGAAGGTTGAATGAGAAAGTAGCCGCGTTGCTCAGGGGCAGTGGCATAGCTATCGAGCGTGCAGGTGGTGGCAACTACACTTGGGCCAGCGGGCTGGAGGTTCCCACACGCCATGCGATGAAGACTCTTTGCAACGCTTATAAAATGTATGTCCTTAGTGTGGGTGAGAAGGCCTATTGTTATCTTCTGGAGTCCTTCTCAAGACACACGGTGGAGCACCGAGAGTCCGGTGAAACTCTCTCGCACAAAATAAACATAGAAAACGTATAGCATCACGTATCCGTATATCGGTAAAGGTGCAGCCCTGCAATTGCTTGCTCATTTCACTCCACTAGGACGAGTTCTAGAAGGTCCCAGTAGAGGATTTTTGACCTACACTTCCAGTGGTTACACGTCCTAGAGGAGGTGAGTTTTCCCACACTTTACCCCACCACAAGAGACCTGCCGAGCATTTAACTCTGGCGTACCCATTTGTACTGCTGGGTGGACAGAGGTGGGGTGATTCAAGAGGATTGTCAATGGTTTCAGTTGCCGCGCCGGGAGATTGAATCAAACCGCCAACGTCAAATGCAAGTCTATTGTGCTAACCATTATACCTCGGCAATATCCCATAAGATATATATATAACATTTTATATACATAAATATTGAATGTGTTTGCTGGCACTCTTGTGTCATTCACTGTGACGACTGTGGCTAACCCGAGCCTCGTTTTGTTGCACCTCCAGGCAACGTCACGAGATTAATGTCACACACCACTTCTTTGGCACGTTAACATGCGTTTACAATGAATACGCAATGTACATGTTACAGAGAGGTCTCTTTGAGTGTGTTGCTGAGCTGCAGATAACCAACCTTGTGAGTCCAGCTGGAAAGGTTTTAACATGGTCTTCCATTTTCTTCCCACTTGCGTTCAACGGTGGCACCGAACGGGGGCTGCATTTGCAAAGGAAGACAAATACGCTGGCAGCTTTATTGGCCGTCATTGCTAACATACCAAATTTAAATCGAGGTTTACAATACAACGTACAACGTATTTTTTTCCCAAATCTCTTTTTTAGGGCGCCACAGAGGAGAGAATGTTAACTATCTCGCCTGGTACGAGGTGGTGGGTTCAATCCCAGCCCTGGTGTCTGCATATTTGGAGTTTGCGTGTTCACCCCGTGGTCGTGTGGATTCTTCTTCAGGTCCTCCGGTTTTTCCCTCCACATTTAAAAACATGTTTTTAAAGTAGTATCTGGTTGCTATAAATTGATACACAAGCCACTTCGTTGAGCTATCATTTGTGACCAGGTCGCTTCTGCAAAAGAGCTATATACCTCAGTGGGCCTTACCTGGTAAAATTAAAATAACGTATTTTTTTTCAAACAAGGTAAAAAAATTATCTGATGGGCAATAGTAAAACTACTGCCGAATGAAGTGGTTACACTTATGTAAAAGGTAAAGGTGCAGGCTGCAAATTACGCTAACCTTGGTTAGTGAGGATTAGTGGAGAGGAGGGTGACCAGAACCGGATCGGATATCACTCACCACTGATGTTAACCGTGGCCGGGATTCAAACTCAAGTAGCCGGATCCATAGCACAATATGATCACCACCGCACTGCTGCGATACAAATCTAAATCCTGCAGCCAATTCCTTGTTGACTTCAACAGGCAATTGCCCAAGTGCACCACCGTACACAATAAAGCAAATGTTACAACACCCTGTAACAGCTTTCACAGGGATAAGTTGTCGTGACAGATATACCACTATCGATACAAGACCTAAGAATGGTAATTTAAATTAATTTGTCAATCCACTGCTGAAGGAAGGCCTCCTCATGCCGTGTCAGTTGTGAAAGTTCACCATACTTCGCTCGACTGCTCAGGTGAATGGAGGGCCAAGCCTGGTTCAGATATTACTTGCCACTGATGTTAGCTGTGGCCAGGAATCAAACTCAGGTTGGTCGGGTTTATAGCGCAGTGCATTAGCCGCTGTCCCACCACACCATCAACACAACTCTTGATGATTGTTAAATGGAAGCTTCTAATTTAATATATAAACATAACAAGAGCAACTTAAACAGCAGCTATGCTAACACATTTTTGTTCCTCAACTGCAAAATGCCTGTTTTGGTAAAATACAGAAATACACCATATTTACCCTGCATGCCAATGTGAATATTAACACATAATGTATATACATACACGTTTTAAACATTTCATTATTCCATTCTCTGCGAGAGAATGTTTCAAATGTGACGCGTGAACCGCACGTTGAGACCCCACGCTGGAACCCAGCGATTTGCTGGGTTTCTTGCACACACCTGAAAATAGCTTCACTGGGTGAAAATTTTCGGGTTTGCAAACACGCTCGTGAGAAAGACCTCGTTAGCGCGCCGCTGAATGCACCAATCAGGATTGAAGGTATACCGCCTGTCTAAAACATGACCCCCTGCAGTTTGACAGTCTCAGGTAGCCACGGAACGATCTGTTACCGAAGCGGTCGGATGCATATTTACAATTCTGGGTCATGATTTAAAAAAAAACATCGTTCGTCTCGTGTCTGCTCTCCCCGTACGCATTATTTAGCTTATGATTTTCGCGTCTTTTTATTGTTTTTTTGCAGTCGTGTTTGCACCAGATTATCCTAAAAGCATCGTCGTAGCATTTGCATAAATATAAAATCCAAAAAATTCAGTTCATCACTTGGTGATGCTGCGTTGGCAGTGGCGCGCAAGCACGGATATCTAAAAACTCAAACACATTCATCAATTAGACTGTGGCCTTAAAAAGAACAAGTATATAACAGGTGACATTTTGGGCAATGGCCCTTGTTCATATCACTTCTCAATTTGAATATAATGACCGACACATCATTTGATGCATTGCATCATGAACCAAACAACCGAGATGTCGTTAAATATCCAGCCCAAAGACCTCTTGCTGCTGACAAAACATCTTCTTGGAACATATTTTACATCGTAGATTTATTGTTCCTGCATCAAGGAATGCTTCCAACTATAAACTCCAAACACTGGGCCGGTTTTGACATTTTTGAGCCTACTACTATCAGCTAAATGCTACTGAACTCTGTGTACAAACGTATGCGCTTAACAGGGCCCCATAGCTTAAATGGAGTGCTCTTGTGGCCTATTTGTGCCAGTGTTGTCCAAATTTGGCGAATAAAAAAAAATCCATAAATTATCCAAACGGGAAAACACATAACAATCAATAGCCCCTAATGCAAAACTGCCACAGACTATGTTTGGGAAACATGTCTTTGTTACAGTCTTGCGCTATAATAATAGCACAAATACCAAGTGTACGAATGATTGTATTTGAATAACAGATGGCAACCCAGAAGCTATTTGTCCAAGAAAAGCCTGACTGCTGACGAGTCCAAAAATGTCAAAACCGGCCCAGTGTTTGTGTGCTGAAAAAAAATCTGCTGTGTGGACTTGTTTGCGACAATGCAATAGGTCGATGGTATAAAAATAATTGTATTCATATGTGTAGACAGTATAGAGGTCTGCTTATATACACTCACACTAATCTCTGTGTTTAACTCCCGACCCAAGTCCCTGTCCTGTTACGCGTCCATCAAAAAAGTGCTGTGGTCAGGCTCACCTGATTCCAGCATCACAGCCCTGCGGCTCCGAGCAGCCTGGCCGTGTCTCCGAGGCTGAAACCAGTGGGGAAGAGGAGGATGGAGGGCCCTTTTCCCTTCGGCTGTGCCAACCCACATCACCGGATGGACCAAACTCGCGAGCCGCCGTAAAGGGCATCACGGGACGACCAAATGGGGCAGGAACAGAGTCATGCGCGATGGGGTGGCGGGTGCAGGGCTCAGCAAGCGCAGGCACAGAGCCAGGGGAGGGGGGCGGTGCGAAGGAGGAGGTCACCCGAGACACTGTGTCTACGCTGTGTTGCCTTTTGGACGTCGACTGCAACGCCGCGTCCCTTTCGGTCGCACCGGCAACGCCCGGTGGAGGCTCTTCACTGCTGACGTCCGCGGGTGTTGCTGACGAGCTGGCCTTATCAATTTTTTCCAAGTTATTAATGGGCTTGAAAGTGTCTGGCGAAAATGTTTTGCTACCCGCTCCGTCGGTGGGAGAAAAGGCAGAGAAGCCAGAAGGCACACGAGTCTTCCCTGAAAGTGCTTCATTGTCCATCTTCCCTGAGCCCTTACTTTCCAAATTAGTAGCCTTTGTATTGAAGGTGCGACCAGGCAAACCATCGTCAGACATTCCTTCATGCAGAGAACTGGGGTTATCGTCCTTCCTCGGCTGCTTCAGGGCCGAAACGTCCAACTCATCAGCAAGAGAACTGCCTTTTGTAGTGTCTGACAGTGATTCCTCACTCTTCCTCGTGGCTTGCGCGTGCTTGGCCTCCAACCACTCGGCCAGAGTGGAGGACGGCTGGGAGAGCGTAGACCCGCTCCGAGAACCTTCTTCATTCTTTTTGGAAGCAATGTCCCTTGGTTGAGAACTATACTTCTGCGCAGGCCGAGTGGTGACCTCTATGTTTAAAATGCATGGCTGCGTGTCCGAGTCTTTCACCGGTAACTCTGCACCCCGCTCGGGGAAGCCCGACGCTGTGCGTGAAGAGCCTGCGCCACGCGCACCGCTGCGGTTCGTGTCGGTTGAAGCCTCTTCGGGCGATTTTGGCTGAAACTGCGAAGGGGCTGTGCGGCGAGAACCTTTCTCAAAGTCCTCCTCGGCGACCGAGAGTTGTAAATAAGGCGGAGAAGTGTCAGCCGCGTCCGAGCGTAACGTAGACGCGCTGTAAAAATGAGGCCTGTATAACTGGCTTTTGACAGGATAATACGAGGTTTCGTCCTGGTCCAAGTAGTTCATTTTTAACGACGACTCTAGGTCGGCGCCCTCAACTTCACTGTACATTTTAGTGGTTGACTTATCCAAGAGATTTGGCTGAAGTCTCGGCGTTATGTTCGTACTTGCAGTGGCGTCTACCAGTTGGGCAGGAGTTTTCTCCTGTTGTACAGGCACATCTTGAGTAGGCTGTTCCTCAGAACAGGACTTGCCTGTCCCACTCCTTTGTTGGTCATTCTCCTCAACACCCTGCAGGAAAAGCGGTGACCTTATAGGGGAAGAAACCTTTCCTTTGCCCAGTATTAAATCTGAAAATGACTGCATCTGTGTTTTTTGGTGAATAGGATCGTCTTGGCGAGCAGTTTGTGTGAGCACCACAGCATCAGCTTTCTGAGGTGCCCCAACATTTTCCTGTTTTTCAATCCTCCCCATTGTTGGCATTGGCCTCAGACGGGCACTTTGTGGAGGTCCTGTGGCCTGCATCTGAGATGAACCTGGAGAGATATGCTGAGTGATCAGGTTATCAACTTTGCCAGTCTCTAAATCACTCAATTTCACAGAATCCTCCTTCGATCCTGTCATAAAATCTTTGCCTCCCTTATGTTGGATGTCCTTCTCGTGAGCGGAAGATTTCTCATTCTCAAGTCCACGTGTCCTGGCTTCGTCATTGTTGGGAGCACGTTCAGCAACATCACCCTCTCTCGCTACCGTCAATGTCTGCGACGCTTGAGCTTCCGAGCCCTCGCACAGAACATCCAGGAACGGGTTAAAGGAATGGCTGCTCAGGAAAGGGTTTTTAGCAGAGGACGGGAAAAAGAAGGGGTTGGAGGATTTGGTGGAAACCTTCTCCGGTGAGGAGGGCGGTGGCGGTGGCGACACCAGATCGTCCCGAGCGAAGGCCGCCGCCGCATTCGACAAATTGTTTTCCCGTACGGGACTCCCGGGTGCGATCACGGCGCGGTTCTCGGCGTGTGGAGAAGGCCGCGGCGCCGGCCTAGGTGCAGGGGGGGATTTGGGAAACTCGGCAGCGTCGGTGAACGACAGCAGCGACGCGGGCGTGGGAGGAGACTGCGACAGAATGGAAGGGGGTGTGCTGGGAAGGTGTAAGATTATGGACATGGGGCTGGAGGGAGAGGTGGGGGAGTGCACGGGTGCTAGTGGGGGGCACAGAGGGAAAGGCACAGCGGGTGCAGCTGCCGCAGCGAGGGGCGCGTTATCAGACATGGAAGGGCTTTGTGGGAGGTTTGTGGTTTCGACCTCGGGAGACACGTCCAGTCTGTGGGGGAGACACAAAACAAGGGACAGAAGGAATACAAATCGTTTTACCCTCTTACCCGTCTCCAGCCACGGCGCTCCGTTATTGTGAGACGCAGCAGGGTTAAAAATTATGCAACGATTCACTCTGCCCCCCCCCCACCCCGCCTTCTCTATCACCAGCAGCAGTTTGATGAAACATCACAATTTGGGGTCATGAATCGATTTAAGATCGATTATTTTCGTGTAATTCTTACCGTCTCAGTGATATCCACTACGTGTAGCTATATGTGAGATTAGTGAGCATAAGAGATGGTGAATTGATGCATCGTTGTATGCCAAGTGGAATGTATGACAAATACGAGTTAAGTCGCGCGTATCCATAAAGTGTTCACAGACGGTGAACGTTTTGATAATTTTAGCTTAAATTAGTATTACGTGAGCTGAAGGCACCGGTTAATGATATTTGTTCAGCTGAGCATCTGGACGAGCCATTATCAAAGCGTGCTTATTCTTCTTAAAGGAAGACGTGGGAGCTTTTTCCCTCGAGACAATTTTGTTCTCAATTACCAGGTTTCCAATGTACTGTCATCTAAAAAAGTACCATTAATCCCCCCAAAAAAACAATAGAATGATTAACAATGTATATTGTCCATCCCAAAAAAGTGTACCCACTCACAAACGGGCTAAAAATGTGAAGAGTTTGTCTTTTAAATTTTGCTGAAAAAATTAATTTACGACAGTTAATGCGTTTTAAGAAAAATAATGTACATGTGACTCCATCAAATCACAGTTATAATCAGGAAAAAAAATACCGTAAAATCATAGATCAGAGGACGTGGCTCTAGTTTCTGCCGTATATAAAAAGCATTTCAATTTTGGAAAACAATTTATTTTGGTGATTCTGCTATGTTAACAGTGGTGCACAAGCACATGTACCAAACGATTCAACGCCTTCGTCAATAACACTGTGGTCTCAAAAGGAAAAACATATAATAGGTGAAATTAATGGCATTGGTTGTCAGCACAGACGATTTACAGCACGCAAATCATTTATATTGCGATACAGTAAATAGATTACGTGCTGTGGAAACGTCGCCAACACACACATGTGCTGAACTAGTAACACACTGACATGTTTTGTTTACATGAAAAACGTTACTAATTGGCTGTGTCGGGTGGTGGTGGGTTTAACGACACATTTATATATTTACACGACCTAACCCAAAAAACCTCCATTATAGATAATATTGGTGTTAACTCTTTGGTTCTTTCGGTAAAGTCACGTAGAAAGAAAATAAATTACATAATAGAATACGACGTTTCGATTGCAACACAAGCAACCGTCATCAGGTAGAACTAAATTTGAGAGAGAGACAAAACACAGACACGGAGACACACACAGACAGACACACAAGCAGAGAGAGACAACACAGACACAGAGAGAGAGAGACAACATCGACTCGGAGACACACAGACACAGAAGCAGAGAGAGACAACACAGAGACACAGAGAGAGACATCGACACGGAGACACACAGACAGACACACAAGCAGAGAGAGACAACACAGAGACACACAGAGAGACAACATCGACACGGAGACACACAGACAGACACAGAAGCAGAGAGAGACACACAACATAGACACACAGACCCAATGTGTTAAATCGCCTATTCTACGTTTCCTTTTAAGGCAATACGTTGCGCAACATATTAGAATGCAAGTTTAATAAGCCGCCTTGCTTCTCACTCCCGCTCGTCACTGAGAACCTATTGCAATGTTAGTAATAAGTAATATTTAAAAAAAAACTTGTTTTAATACACGCTTCAATGAAATGTACCCTACTAGTAATGGAAGAACTCCACGACTCCAGGAAGTGGCCCGAAGCTTGCCATAACGTAAGGGGACCGTGGTCAATTACAGCCAACGTCAGTTGAGCGTGGACAATTAGACCCAAGCCGAAACATAACATATAAAAAATAATGATAGAATATAGTATTGTCATGAGGATGACATAAGTATACCAAGTTTGCAGTCGATACCATATTGGGAAGTGGGTAAAAATTGAGTTACAAGATTTGAGGATACAACAGACGGTGATTCATATTCTTGGTTCTTTCGGTAAAGTCACGTAGAAGGGAAACAATAAAATAATAAAAATATAAAACAAAATTCTCACGACGTTTCGACTGCAACACAAGCAATCATCATCAGGTGTGAAAACCACAACAAGAAAATTTGATAAAAGTGGCGTTTTTTTTTTTACGTTAGCACCACGGAGAGATATTTGACAGTTTATTCAGATGGACGAGTCGATCTATGTTCGGAAAAGAGGAGGGGTGAGACGAAAAATAATGGATGCGGTCTGAAAGCCACCTTAAGCGTAATCAATCAAGACCCGAAATGGTTTATCAAATCCTTCCAATGAATACTAAGCCAGAATCCATCTTCTCGGTTGAAATTGTCTCTGTGTTTGTATATGTGGATAGCCTCATGAACGAATCTCTCATGGTAGCCAGATGGCTTGGAAAGAACCTCTGTCTTGGAGAAGTCAATGTCATGTGAACCTACTGAATTATAACAGTGATCTGCCACGGCCGAGGTGTTGGTCCTACCATGTTTCAGGTCTGCTATGTGTTCACGAATGCGGTCCGAGACATGTCGTTTGGTTTCTCCTATGTAACTACTACCACAGAGGCAACTTAGTTTGTAGATGCCAGGGTACTGTATGTCCGGAATCACATCTTTTACAGATGGAACCAGATCACGGATTTTATGTAATGTGTTGAATTGGACCTGGATCTTGTGTTTATTCAAGATTTTGGAGATCTTTTTGTGATCCCCGCAATGTAGGATAAAGTTATGGTTTTGAAAGGCTCCTCAAGAGGGTCCTTCTTCATGGTTGGAGCGATATCTTTGCGGATTGTGTAGTCGGAATAACCATTAGCCTTAAGAGCTTGGTGTATGTGCTTGAGTTTACTGGCTATATGTTCCTGGTCGGATATGCATTGGGCTCTATGGTGCAGAGTCTTGACGAGGGAATTCTTCTGGGATGGATGGTGGTGGGAATCCAGTTTCAGGTAAGCATCCTTATGGGTAGCTTTCCTGTAGACATGTCTCGGACTGCATTCGTGAACACAAAGCAGACCTGAAACACGGTAGGACCAACACCTCGGCCGCGGCAGATCGCTGTTATAATTCAGTAGGTTCACATGACATTGACTTCTCCAAGACAGAGGTTATTTGCAAGCCATCTTACTACCATGAGAGATTCGTTCATGAGGCTATCCACATATACAAACACAGAGAAAATTTCAACCGAGAAGATGGATTCTGGTTTAGCAATCATTGGAAGGATTTGATAAACCATTTCGGGTCTTAATTGATTTATCACGCTTAAGGTGGCTTTCAGACCGCATCCATTATTTTTCGTCTCCCCCCTCCTCTTTTCCGAACATAGATGGACTCGTCCATCTGATCAAACTGTCAAATTTCTCTCCGTGGTGCTAACGTTAAAAATAATTGCCACTTTTTTCAAATTTTCTTGTTGTGGTTTTCACACCTGATGATGATTGCTTGTGTTGCAGTCGAAACGTCGTGAGAATTTTATTGTTTAATATTTTTATTATTTTATTGTTTCCCTTCTACGTGACTTTACCGAAAGAACCAAGAATATGAATCCCTGCAGTCACGAAAGCTTTAAATCAAAACAGACAGTGAGTTAATAAAAAGTGCGTAATAAAAAAAGCGTGTAGTAAAAAAAGTGTAATAAAAAAAGCATGTAATAAAAGCAAGCGGACCCGAAGCGAACGTACTCTCTCATTTGTGAGTAGGTGACGGTATGTGGGGCTGTCGCAGCTATTTGTATTGGTGAAAGTCAAGCAGTGATGTTATCATATTTATTTTTACAAGTGTTATAAATATCATGCAGTATAGTACAGTGCACCTCACGGTTGCCAGTTTTAAATGTGCCACATTGTGCAGGCGAATCTCTTGCATAAATGGTTGAACGTCCGCATGCTACCAAGTAATAACGAAAGTAATCGAGGGCCCTTCGCCTATCCACTGCTGGGTGAAGGCCTCCCCATAATGCACCATCGGTCATGTGGGGTAGTTGGCCATATGTTATCAAGCACATTTCGGTAAAGAGCAATTTCAAGGTTAATTGGCACACTTAAATACTGTATAATAAAATAACTTGCGTAAAACGAATCAAATCTTTGTTAAAGACTGAAGCAATGAACGTTACAATAATAATTAAAAAAAACTAATGATATTTTATACATTTTTCCAATTCACTGCCGTGGCCAGTCACCGTCGCAGTTTTATCACACCTCACCATACTGGCCAGTGTGGGTTAACCATAATAATAAACTACATTTATATTGCACCTTTTTACAAGGTACTCAAGTAGCTTTACATCACACACATAAACACATAAATAATAGAGCACTTACCAAGGGAGGGGGGGTGGGGGAACAAACAAAAAAATATAGAAGCTAATTTATAGGACCGAACGCAAGAGAAAATGCACGCGTCTTGAGGCGTGAGGTTTAAGCACCACCGCCGTTGTCTCTGAATCACGAACAACACTGGGCAAGAGCCCTCCCCTTACGGGCAGCAGTGCAGCACAAGGCACGAGCAAACCAATGTGCAACACCACATCACGGGTGAATGCACAAGGCCACTGGACCACTGAAGAACAAAGTTTTCGGGATGGCCACACATACTGGGGTGAGTAAATCTGTCCACTTTCGAGAGCCTCATTTGTCAGAAGGAAAATCTTGGGACTACAACTCTGGATTTTATAGGAAGCCAGCGAAGAGATGCCAAGAGCGGACGGATATGTTCGCATGTCCGGGACTCTTTGATACAATTCTGGTAGCCGAGTAGAGGACGTATTGCAATTTAGGACTGAGGCAGAGGCACCAAACAGAGAGCACTGCATAATCGGTTTTTTTTGTTATTATTCTGTTATTATTTTTATTATTTTATCTCCATTCTACGTGACTTGACCGAA